TTTAAGTCACTACTTAACACTCAAAGCTTTTCTCATGGTCCTTATCTTACACGTTTATTTTTTATTACAATGCTACCACATGAAACGTTTTAAGTCACTACTTAACACTCAAAGCTTTTCTCATGGTCCTTATCTTACACGTTTATTTTTTATTACAATGCTACCACATGAAACGTTTTAAGTCACTACTTAACACTCAAAGCTTTTCTCATGGTCCTTATCTTACACGTTTATTCTTTATTACAATGCTACCACATGAAACGTTTTAAGTAACTACTTAAACTCTGCACAATGATCATTAATATTCACAATTTAGTTGATCGAAAACACTACTGTTTGATACGTTTCTCAATATCAGGACATTCTACAGTGGTTCATACTTGGTGTCTTTCATAAGACACAACATTCAAGTCATTTATCCGAATTAAAAACTTGTCATAGTGAATGGACTATGGTATTCATGCTTTATTATTTAAAATTTAGAACTATTCACAGTTGTACTATTTCTATAATTTTCAGGGTAAATTATTCAGTGTTATACTTGAATCAGTATTCGAAAGTTTAACCTTAACACTGTTTTATATGGTAAGATCAGTATGAAAATGAATGTCAGAGTCGTGGCATTTAAGACATTGTTTATATTCATTCTAGATTGCTCTAATTGTGTTTTGCTAACCTGAGCTTTAGGGGGAATGATATTATTGACAAATATTACTGCTTGTGCTGATCTAGATGTGAACATGTACGCGCAAGTGGATGAAAATATAGATGACACAATATCTAAAGTGCTTTCAGCTGGCTTGAAACTGATGTTTATGCGGTCAGTTATTGGTGGATGTTTACACGAAGGATAACGCGTAAAGGCTAACAGCAGTGCGGCAAAATTACTGTATCCGTGCGCATACGTTAGCTTCTTTTTTTTTGGTACACATTGTAAAACGACAATACGAATTGCCGCTTGTACGTCACAGCGAGCTGTTCAAATGTCTGATACTGAAATGTCAGAGTGCACCTTATATACGCCTTTTCTGTATCATTTAAAGGAGTAAACGGCCATCAGCCCCTGGCAATGAACGTGATGATTGTTATTATTTATTTTGTTATTAGAAGAACGTACACCAAATTTCTGAACAGAATTTGCATGTTATTGCCATCTGTTCTCAAAATATATATCTTTTTATTAAACAGTTTAAAGCTAAATCCACTTTTTTCAGATCACCTCTTAACGTTTTTATGTTCTACTGTGTTGATGAGTTTATTCACCTCGTGTAAATCTCGTTGTCAATCGCCCAATGTTAAAAGAAAAAAACAAACAAACAACAACAATGAAGTAATAAGCGAGTGGTGCCTGTGTTATCGCTCGTTCTTAAGTAAATAACACACTTGGAGGACGGTAAAAACCTAAATATTATATATATTTGCATTTTTATTTTTTTAAAGTAAGGTAGAAAATATTTTCGTGTTTGGAATATATTTTATGTTTAAAGTTTTAACTTTCGTTCAAAGTTAGTGGTTCGTGTAGTTTCGTATATACGTAAGTAAATTAATTTAAACCTAAACGATTTTCAGTTATTGTTAGGAATTAAATACACGTTTTGAAATGGCTGCTTGAAGTGAGAGGTCATGTTGAAAATATCCCTCAAACACTAATTAGAAACTGCATAGCTTAAAAGTTGAATGTTTGCACGATTTTAATATTTGGGGTTTAAAATTGTTCATCGTTGGAAGGTCTTATTTGGTTAATCACGCTCAGAAACCACGCTTCTGCTTTTTTTTTTTCCTTGGAGCGTGTCAAATTTTAATATCCGTTGAATTAAATTAGTCAGATTGTCATGTGTAACGATACTCTACGTGATGGCCTGTTGTGGGACTTCTTTCAGTTGTGTATAAAGCGAGGTGTACAACAAAGTAAAAGAGATATTCGTAGAGCTGATGGTTCCTTTTGTCAGCGGAGGCTTATACTTTTATCAACTGTCTCATAGAAATAGTGTGTGAAATTTAAAGACAAAAAATAAAGAAACTTGGAAAAATTCTTACAACTGAGAACGTACTCAAAATCCTACTAAAAGGTGCATTAAATAATTCAAGATCTTTTATTGATTTTCCAGTAAAAAAGTCAACAGATCTTAGAGCATCCTTGTCAAAAATTGTACCGATCTTGAGAAAACTTCTGTTGAAACTGGAATTAACGTACTTGCGTAAGTAGCGCGGCAAATTATGATTTTCTGTGCAGTGAACATCGCCTCATGAGGTCATGCACACTCAGACGTTCATATACAAAAGAAAATAAAACATACAAATCTGAAGTTTAAGAAGTCTGTGTTTTACTTGTTGGAATGGAAATAATTTTGAGGTTGTTATATATGGAAAGACCATTAGAAATGACTGCAAATTGCAGTGTTGTTACTTCTCGTTATTGTGTAGCTTTATAGTGGACTTTGCTTTTTATTTTCAAAATATATTTGTGCAGTGGAAATCAGCGAGTAAGAAAATAGTAGAGACGAACATATAAACAGATAGGTAAGTGGGTGGATGGATGTGTAATTAAATTCGTGGTAAACAGATAAGTAAGTGGATGGGTAGGTGCGTAATTAGATTCGTGGTAAACAGATAGGTAAATGGATGGTTGGGTAATTAAATTCATGGACTGTACAACGAGTTGGATATACAGGTCTGAAAATTCGACTTATAAATGATATTAGATAAAAAATGGGAGTATATGTGAAAACTCGAAGAGACAAATGATTCAGAGAGCGATTAAAAAAATGGTTTATTGCCACAGGAAGATTGCGTTTGTGAGTGAGTGTGTGCACGTGGAGAAGAAAATATCTATAGTTGTGTCCCCAAGTGCCTCACCGATAAGCCTGAAGGCCTATAACACTAGAACCCGGGTTTCGACGCCCTTGATGGGCACAGAACAGATAGCCCATTGTGTATCGTTGCGCTTAACAAGAAACATATCTATGGTTGTGTCAAAAAGAATATGAATTAAACATTTTGATATCTGCAATTCAATAGGTGGTATTGAAAAAGTAGCCCAAAATTGGCGGCGGGTGATTTGACTGCCTGCCTTCCCTTTAAACTGTCGAGTCAAAATTGGCCCGGCATGGCCAGGTGGTTAGGACGCTCGACTCGCAATCTGAGAGTCGCGGGTTCGAATGCCCGTCCCACCAAACATGCTCGCCCTTTCAGCCGTGGGGGCGTTATAAAGTGACGGTCAAGCCCACTATTCGTTGGTAAAAGAGTAGCCCAAGAGTTGGCGGTTTGTGGTGATGACTAGCTGCCTTCCCTCTAGTCTTTCATTGCTAAATTAGGGACGGCTAGCGCAGATAGTCCTCGTGTAGCTTTGCGCGAAATTCAAAACAAACAAACGAGTCAAAATTAGGAACGGCTACCGCATGTATGTTTTTTTACATGAGTC